CACAATAAAAATCTTTATCTTGTATATAAGCAGCTGAACGATTTAAATATAATAAATATAATGAAACAATATTTTCTTCTTCAAGTTTATTTTCAATAAGTTTAATTGCTTCACTGTATGATTGAATAGCTAATAATGATTGATTATTTGAATAATATTGATTACCCTGAGTTTTATATTCCAATACTGTTAATGACATTTTTTTGTTCATTTTAAATTAATCGTCGACTTTAATTCTAAAAAGAGATTATATTAGTGATGTCATGTGATATGATAAAAGATAAACAAATAAAAAAATAAAAATAAAACTATTCGATGTAATGATATCGACACATGCGTTCTAGGTCGTGTTCGTTTTTTCTCTTTTCTTGTGTGCATTCAATCTATGATGTCATCTCATAGAATATTCTATACTTAGCCTAATCTTAAATTGAAACTGATATTATATATAAATCGAAGTGTATTTCTACAAATTATAATCTTTAGAATCTAAGTAACTAACTTAAAATCGATTATGACTATTGTTAGTTCTCACACTTTCAATCGTGATATATTACAACTTATGGACCAACCATCTGTCGCCGATAAAGATAATATATGTGTGTAAACTATACGAAAAATGTTTATATATGAAATCGTTTTTCTCTTCACTAAAATGAACTGGCAATAAGAAAAACAAACGAATATATAAGGATAACATTACAAAGAATATCAAACAATACGAAAGAAACAAACATAACTATAACAGATATCGTTAGTTAACAGTTAGATAGAAATGAAAAAAGACAATCTTCACGTTCGTTTTCATTATTTTCGATAAATACTTTTCATTTTGAAGAAAACTGTGGGGACAAGTCGCTTTTCATATTTTTTGTCATTTAAATGAAAAATGATACGAAGTGTTTCATAAATATTGAGTTTTGACAGAAGCCAATATGTTTATATAAATTTTGAGGATGTGAGTATGAGGTAGACGTGGATAAGATATAAACATAACATCTACATCTGCGTGGAACTGGAAAATATCTAAGAAGAAATCTCGCCATCAGTATTGATCATGTTTTCTTTCTTTTCGATATGTTCGATCGTTGTTCATAGTGTTGTCTTGAACAGACATCCACGATTCAGCTAAAAAGGTATCATTCCATCGTTCCACCTCGAATTTGATTTAGATGGCGACCTATTTTTTGCATTTTTTTTAGCCTCACGTCAGAAGGTGCAGGTATAGGGATTTTAATGAAAGAGAGAAGCCAACTCATGACTATGCCAATAGCAGCATCCTCGACGGACTCGTAATATTGCTTAATGTATATTATCGCTCAAAATTATAAGAACAAAATGTTTCCAATTATCTTAACCCACATAATACTCGATCTTTTTTACCACTGTATATGTGGTCAACAGAACGAGATAAAATGGCCCAGGCTGGTAGTACAAGAGTTAATAATGTTGAATACTTGAGTTAAATCATAAATGGACTGTAGAATAGTTATAAGAGAAAAAAAAATTTAAGACATTGTCCTATAATTTCATTTTCAGCCGATTTTAGTGTTTGTCTCGATTTTTTTCTCATCTTTTCTTATGTCTATCAGGAAATTAGTATGAAACTCAGCTACTTGATGTTGCGTAGATTTTGAAGGATTATGTTTTATTTGGAGAAGTGGCTTTTTGGTTCGGTCATGGTCCCTCCTAAAAATGATTTTTCAAGTGATCTTTACATGATGAAAATAATAATGTATTTCCGAGTCAAATTAATATTGTTCAGTTTTAAAGAAATTTTTGTTAGCGTTTGATTAATAACTTGGTCGCTGATATGATTGGTTTCATTGATTTCATTTTTCTTATTGTTTTTTACTCTAAGGATACAAATATTATCGGAATCAAGATTTTCTCCCGATGGATTGATGTTAGCGTTATCCCTTTTCTTTTCATTCGACATTTCTTTGAATTCATGAGTATTTTCATGTTGTGTTTGGAAAGTTTTCTTTAAAAGTGTATAATTATCGAATTTTCATAATTAACATATTGCTTTTACATAGAATCACACTGATTGCTGGTTGAACCGGTATTATTATTATTATTATTAACTGTTACCACCATTAAGGATCTCGTCAGGTAAATTTGGAACTAGAAAAAATATATACTCTGCATGGCCACTTCTCATTTGTGAACATGAATTAAACTGAATTTAAATATAGTAAAAATATTTTAAATCTTCGCTTAGTTGTAAAGCTAAAAAATTTATAAGTCAATATAAAGGTTTAAATGATTGAAATTTTTATTTAAAAAAACAATTCGATTAATCGAAATAATTTTAAAAAATGAAATTTTAAAATATTTTAATAAAAAAATTATTCATTTTAAGATAAGGTTTTATAATTTGTAGAAGACGCTAGCTTTCTGAATTTAAGAAAAGGTTTGAATTAAGAAGAGTTATTGTAATTTGTAGAAGACATCAGTTTTTAACTGCCACAGTTTTGTTTTAGATAGAGCTGATGTTTCTAAAGGAATTATTTAGGATATAAGAGTACATGTATTAGTAAGCCGATCTTGAAAATTATTGAAGTAGCACGAAATGAAATATATTTTAAAGCCATCTTTTTTTTTAAACATTATTTTCTATATTTTTGTTTCTTGTATATAAATACTCTTGCACTTAGATTACTAGTAGTTGTCCATTCGATGGTTGATTCCATGTTATAATGACAATTAGCTTGTATGTCCAAGATCAAAGAAAAAAACAGGTTATAAAATTCTCAGTGACGATAATATTTAGCGAACTTTATAAATTACAGCTAGTTAAAAGTAGAATTGAAGGTATAAGTTTTATTACAATTGCTTTTAGTGAATGTTTTAAAATTTAGAAAACGAAAATCTGAGTTCTAAACTTATTTTCTATTTAACAATTTAAATTAAAATGCATAGTTTTTGAATTTCGATTTTATATTCGGAAATAAGAAGACACGTAGAAGGTTTACAGTTACCATAAATAAAGAAATGAAATCTTTGACGAACGATGAAAAGGCAATATCCATGTCACCATGAATAGATTAAATTTCATGGAGCAAACATGTGAACACTATTCAAACTGAACTCTTTCTCAGCACAAAACAATCTCTCTCATTATCATACCTATTAAGATAGTTTCCCAGCGTGACACTCGGCATTACATCTGTTTTGTGTGTGTATGATGATGGATAGTTCTCAAAACAGAATTTAACAAATGATGATAGACAATGATTCGATCGAATTCAATCGAGAGTCAAGCGAGTTGTAGCGGCAAGTGTTACTTGTATTGTATTATAAGTATTTAAATGATCGTATATCTTAGAAGTTAATTGATTTTTCTTTTGTCATTGTAAATATTAACGATTCGATTAATATTTAAAGTGATCTATTCAAACTTTCGAGTCTAATTCCAAAAATAAATTCAATTCAAAGTCTTAATTTTAAATGAAAGTGTAACAAACAGACTTCAGTAAATATTCAAATGTCAGAAATCAAATACAAGTCAATCAAAAATACGCTTGTAAAACAAAATTTGAATACTTGGATTGATTCGTTATTTTTATCACGCTATATTAACACATCACACATAATTTGAATAAGACGTATTAAAATAAACAAAAAAAAAAAGAACATTGTAACATTCAATTGTGGCATTTAGATTCAAATAACATTTAATTACCAATCGAAGTTTTGTGCTCCACTTGATATATCATTGAACGGATGGATAATCTCATTCTGACTTGACAATAAAATTGAAATATATTAAGAATGTTAGAAAAAAAAATAAAACAAATCTTTACAAATAAGTTGATAATATAATTATCATGAAATTAATTAATATATATTTAATAAACTTAAAATCAAATATTCTATATTACATTTTCTTTTAGATACATACAAAAAAAAACATTGTTTAATAACTAAGTTCTTGTTAGTTGTTACTGACATGCTAATTACACTTGAGAGTGAGGACAATTTTGCTTTGAATATCATGACTATTATAGTTACTCTAGTAGTAATAATTGTTAAAAATTCCAATTATTGGTACTCGTTGAAAAAAAAAACGATTGGATATACCTCTTCAATCTTCTCTATGCTCTTTCCATTGATATGAGACAGTGATTTCTACTCTTGTTGTTTTAAGATAAATGAACAGAGATCGTAAAAAGAAGAGAATTTTGTAGCGAAAAAAGTAAATCATGATTAGATATGAAGAATTAAAAACAAAATAAATATTGAACATCTTAGTTAAAGAATTTTTAGATCATTCGATATTTCTGTAATCTTGAATCAGTTTCCAAGTGTTTTTATAGGTTCAGAAAACTTCAAGACTCATAGTTAGGTGCAGTTAGTCCCTTTCACATTCTAGAGTAATTAGTGACCAAAGGATGTGACGTCAAAATAAATCTCGAAAGAAACAATTTGGAAAAATAAAAATTCGAAAAATCACTATTATGAAAGAAAAATCTCGATCAGCTATTATATCTTGCATGGACAACGTGGAACTTCATTCGAAATTTAAGATATTCAAGATTGAACTTAAATTCATTCAGAAAATTCATCATTTTGTAAGATGAAATTTTAGAGATCATTATTCTATCTTTTTATTTATTTTTTGTCCTTTTTAAAAACCTCTGCAATCAGAATTTTTCTTATGTAAAAAATTCATATGATCGATCATTCTAGTGTACTTCTACACGTTTCATTTTCATATGTTATATAATGATGATCGTCTGTTGTTTATATAAGAAGAGATAATGTCTCTATTTGAATGAAACAATATTTTCTGTTTTTTCATATCAAAAATCTTGATAATAAAGAAAATCGAATGAATATATTTAACAAATATCTTTTTAACAATGTTTGTTATTCCACAAACATGAATATCTGCACAATATGAAGAACAAAAAAATATCGAACGACAAAAAAAAAATAAATGTTTATAGAATTAATTGAAAAATTCATGAAGAGAAGAGAATCTTCTATCAATATTAATCATCATCGTTGTTGCTCGATGAAGTAACCATAATATATTGACAATGTCGTTTTACCATTCTTCTATTTGTTTCTTCTTCTGTTGAGGAAGTAGAAGAGCTGCTCTTTCTTTTATTTGCATGTGACTAAATGAATAAATGAAGATTTTAATTGAAAAATTTTCGTTGTTCAAGTTCATTAAACAATATTCATTGACTAAAATTTAATGAAATATTTTCTTTACTGACAACGTCATATTATATAAGTGATGTTCGCCTTTTTCTAAGTATGAACTATTATAATCATATTCAATATCATAAATCTAAGTCAGTTCGATCATCGAAGGAAAAAGAAAAGTGTAAAATTAAATTTGATAGTTAATATAAGTAACAATGAATAAATGAAATAATCTATACATAGAAATGCAATAGTAGAAATGACTTACGTTTGGTGACGACATTTTAACCAAAGATTTTTTATTTGAAGATGAATATTTCTTTTTTTGGTATTTTTTCAATGATGTTTTAAATTGTTCAAGTAAATCTGGACAATCCAGATTATTTTCATGTTCCCACTAAACAAAAAACAAAAAACAAAAAATTTTGCATTTATTTCATTTAAAGAGCCACATCCTAATAATGGCATTGTTTCATAATATTCAAAATGACTATTTTATGGTCAAATTTTTTGTTTACTAATATCACTTCAATCAACAATTATTTTTTTTTTCACAATTCTTACTCTATTCATAACTCTATACTTTTTTCATTTTGTTTGAAATTTCAAATATTTTATTTTTTCAACTTAACTATTGGCATAGAAAACAAGAAAAAAAAATTGAACTTACAGTATTTTGATCATTATTAAAACCTTTCCATTTGAGAAGATATTCAATAGAACCATTTTTAATTCTACGATCTAGAATTTTTTCTACGGTAAACATTTCTTCCCATAGATGAATTTTATCATTTGAATTAGCCAATCGTTGTTTAAACATATTTTGATATTTTTTACTAATATCAAATCCAATAAAAGATCGTTTTAAATTATTTGCAGCTATAAGTGTTGAACCAGATCCAGCAAATGGATCTAATACGATATCGTCTAAAAGAAAAACAATTTAATTATTTATTTTTTTAACAATTCGAACTAATTGATTTAATCATGAAAATCGATTAAAAAAGAGAAAAGTAATAAAGTAATGCTCAATTAAAGAATAATGTTATTAAAATTTAAATCAGAGTCATTTCGTTCGAGAGAAAATCTTTAATAAATAAAGAAAATGGTTCAATTAATGGATATCGTTTATATCTTATCATCCTATATTGTCAAAATCGTCTTACTTCCGCCGATTGTTCGCAATATTTGGAAAAAACCAGCGATTAATCGATGATTTTGTTACAAACTTCAACAATAAGTATTTACTGATAAAAATTTGTCTTTTACTTTTATCTGGTTCAACCTCAACAACAAAATGAAAAATAAGTATTAATTTATTAGAAAAAAAAACGTTTTTTTTTATTATTATTTATGATGGATGGTGAAGAGAAAGCTATATCTCATCGCATTTACTAGAAATTTGTATGAATACGATAGTAAACGATGTTCGTACAGATATCGTACACTACAGGTAGAGACTCAATCATGACCCTAATGCTAAGCACTATGATCAAGTTCGATTGACTTACTCTCATCAGTTGTTGATAAAATACAGATTTCAGGAATAATTGATGGAAATGGTGCTGGATGTTTATTTGTTCGATCAGGTTTTATTTTCCAAATTGAATTTTTAAAATATTCTGGTAAACGATCACGATAATATTTAGGTGATGATGATAAACTGGATGAAGATTTAGTTAACCAAAATATTTTTTCATGATTAGGTCGAAAATAAGAATTATTTTGATTAGGTGTTGAACCTCGATCCCATATTATTGTTTGATATAATTTTAATTTACTTTGAAGAATAAATTGTTCAGGAGGATAATCACAATGAGAATATCGTCGATCTTTATGATTATAAAATAATGAACCTGAAGGTGTTAAAACACGATTTATTTCATTTAAAAATTTACATTGCCATTTTTGATATTCAATTTCATTCATATTATCATCATATGTGTCATAAATTATTTGTCCATTATATGGACGACCTTGTCGTAAACCAAGTTTATTATATGGTGGAGAAGTTATAATACATTGTATTGAATCATTTGGTAACATTTTTAATCCTTTAATACAATCGATAATTAAATATTTATTTATCATTAACTAAATGAAAAAATTCATTGATTAATTATTATAAACAAATGAAATAAAATATTTTCTCATTAATCAATATTATCTTTTATAATTAAATCAAATACTTACATTCAATTTTTTCTTATTTATATAATGATCATTTGATAAAGATGATTCTTTATTGATATTTGTTATACGTGTAGTTTTTGATGGTATCTAATGAAAATTAACATACATCAAAATATTTTCAGCAATTAATTCGTTCATTATTTTTAAAAAGAAAACATTTGTACTTGTTACAATTGATCAAAAACAATTCAACACATGACAAATATTAAGAATAATTTTAAGAAAAAATTTCTTTATTTTTTTTTCGCAAAGAACATCTTAGAGGATTGTACACTAATTTCAAAAAACTTTATTATCTATATAAAAAGGAACTATTCATTATTTTCTTCTAAAATAAGAAAAGATGAAATATTAATCAGTCATTAATAAAATTATGAAGAACTATTTTAAATTTTCGATGAAAAATCTCAATTGAGTTGTTGAATGTGATAGACTGACCTTTATATCAATTCGAATATTGTAATTATAATGAAATGTTGATGATTGACGATGATTATGTATAAAAAATTCTTGTTTAGCATCATCATTATCCTTAGACAAATCAATGATTTCCACAGTTCTATTCGATTTTGTATTACGACGTATCACTACAATATATTCAAAATTCTATTCGTATTTTGTATTAACAGTTTCTCGATTTACTTTTTTTTTTCATTGAATTTATTCGAAAGAGAATAATATTTTTGATTTTTCAACCTAATTGAGAGAAATCATATATATAAAATCCATCAAAGATTAAATTACTTTAACAAATATCGATCAACCCAAATAAATCAAATTTTATTTTAAATTTAACTTTTTTAATAGTAATAAACAAAGATTTGAATAAAATCAAAAATAAATGAAATTAATCATAGATAAAGAAAGAAAAATAAATAAAATAGAATTAACATACACGAGAATCATTCTGTTAATACTATTATAATAGAACAGATAAGAAGAAAAAAGAAACAAAGAAAAAATATGTATTTGCACGTATCACGTATTCGAAATGATTCACAGAACGTACATTAGTTATCATTATGTGACGGGAGCCATCGTTACATGGACATTATCGAGACTCTGCTGTGCTTCATCACACTTTTTCTCTTCTCTTTCTCTCTCTCTAGCTAAATACACTCATATTTGTGTATTGTTTCATGAATCAATAGACTCACGGACCTCGTTTACCCGTCATACATTGAATTTATCAAACTTTGATCGGTATTAAGATGTATCATACAAAATCTAATGGTGGAATTTTGATTTGAAGTTTTGCTCACAAAGATGTCCATGGTGCTACGATGTGTTAAACGGCTCAGTCAAAATGCACGTTTCCATTTTGAGATATGAAATGCTTTACAAACCACATTTATTTTACTTAGAGTTCGGGAATCCTTGGTTTTTTAAAAAGCTCAAATTTTCAAATGAAAACATTGATTTTCGCTGAGATCTGTACAAACAAAAACTTGAATATTAAATTTTTTATGATATAATCATTTGAAGATCTCTAAATTAGCTTTGATGACATGAATATTTTAATGGATTCTAAAACTTATGACTGATTAGAAATATGAATATAAGTTAGTCAAAAATAATCAATTTTAATTAACAGAGAATCTCTCAATTGAAGTTGATTCGATTAAGATTTTAATCAATTATAAAATTAAATCTAGCTAATTGAAATGAGTTAATTATAAGTGATTGAGATTTTCTCGATCAAATTATATACAATTAAGATTTTAATCGAATTATTTTTGAAAACAGTAATTTGTATGAAAAATTCGAGCTAGATTGTTTAGAATAAAAAAAAAAGGATATCGTAATTTTTGCATGTACATTTTTCACCGAACAATTGTTAAATAAAACGATTTTTCAATTGATTGATATCTATAAATGAATTTCTCTTTCGATAATGTGAAAAGTAACATAATCAAACGAGATTGTGTTTCAATTCATATATCGATCAAGCCAATGACAGAAGCATATATATTATCTTTAGTTTTTTCTTTTTAGTATCATAGATGTTCAGGTTCGATGACTATTGATGACTAATTGAAGTAAGAGGTTTTTTTTGATACAGTTGTTGTTGTTGAAATCTGATGAAAATTAATATAAATGAAACATATTTCTCGGAATTAATTCTTTTATCGACTTTATCTCAAAATGACTTTTAACTTTTTGAAAAAAAAAGAAGAAAATCTTCGACGAAACTATTCGTACGTCAGCAACAATAAGAGTTCTGCACGGAAAAAAAACTGTACGTATGAGACATCTGTAAAATATAAAAAAAAGTATTGAGAAATCTTGAAGACGATATTCGTTGCAGAGATCTGAATAATATTTTTAAAATAGGAAAATTATTCTTGTTTCGAGCAGAAATGATTCATCTCCGATAAAGTCAAGAAGAACTGCTGTTTTAAACAATAGCAACCATTATTTGAATTCATTTATATCAGAAGAAATGACTCACTCACAATGCTACTTTTTTGAATAAGCAAAATGATTAATATCACGAAAAATAATAACAGAAAAATGTTTCTGAAAGCCATTTGTCAAATACGAACTAAGAATAAATATAATGAGACATAAAATAAAACACTTGTTGTCAGTTTTATTGCACTTTTAAAGTTAATCAATTAACATAAAATTAGTTCTACTTTTAGAAATTCCAAAATAATTTTATGCCACTGTATTTATGTTATAGGTGTTTATATCAAAAAATCTTGATATTAAGATACCTTTTTGTTAAGCGTTAACTTAAGAAAACTTGCGATTGTATTTAATAAAATGAGAGAACAATAATAGACTAACACGTTCTCGATGATTATACAAACGGCATAGAAAATGAAGATCAAAGATGGATATTTATGCACTATAAAGAGATTTGTGAAAAAAAAAAGAAAAAGAAGATAAATCATCAATGGCCTATGTGATTTACATTAGAAAAGAGAAAACACAGGAAATAATAATAGTATATCAATTGACAAACATATTAACTAACTAATTAATAAGTGATTAGTGAATATCTCTCAAATCATATGAGAAAAAATTCAAAAAATTTCAGGATAGACTCTACGGTCCGAGCCATATCTATGGTAAAATTTCTAGCAAGATCGGATTCCAAAAATTTTTCTCATAGAAACCAACTCTCTGGGAGTCCTGTCAAGTCCAGGAATAAAAATTTTTTTCTTATTATTAACTGAAGATTTTGAAGAAGGATTTTATCATTTAGAATTGATTTTGAATTTCTCATTCAGTTATAAGAACAGTTTTTCGCTTGAATATTCGTACTTCATCACATCGTTAAAGCTAGGTTTTTTTAGTAATAACTCCTCTGAATAATGATCTCTAGGACTGGTTTTTTTCAGGGTATATAGAGTAACTTACAACATATATAACATACAATGTAATCATTAATTTGATGTAATTGAATCTTTAAATCTTTTGTAATATCGTGTGATGAACTTCTCGCGAATATTTCAAATTGAATTGTGTGAAAATTAACTGTGACAATATCAATTGTCTTATATTTTATCTCATGAAAAAACTGAACAAGGCCATAATGTTTCGTTACAATCATTTGTATGCCAATTGACATCAATCGAACAGCACAATTTCGAGCATTGCCTTGCTTATTGCTTTTGATCGTTCATTATGTGTACAGTGCGACAATTTTTTAAACAATCAATCTCATATAACTACTAGCGCAATTATTCCTTTTTAGTTCTGTTTTTTTTTCGTAAAAATATTCCTAAATGTGACAGATACTTGAAAACGATGTTGTATTAAAACGCTGCTTGTTATTAGATTATCATTAGAGGCAAATTGAGCGCTGCTATATTATTGAAAAGAAATGTATCAAGAATATTATGTATTATTATTTCTCATAATAAATATAAACTAGCGAAAGAAGCTGAATGTAGATACTTGAAATAAATAGAAGAATAACATTTATTAAATATATAGAATTCTTTAGATTTTTTGTCATTGAGTTCGCATGTTTAAATGTCATTAAAATGATTAAACAAAATAATAATTTGAATCAATGTGGATTAGTATAATGAGGTGGTTCAGTTACAACACCATTATTATCTGTGACGCATACAACACGTTTCGGATCATACATTCTATTTTGCATCCCATTTTTTGCATTATAAGGATGTAGATCTGTAACAAGAAAAATAGAAGCACAAAATCTAAAGTTCAGTTAGAATAAGAGATTATTCTTACTGTTATCAAATGCTAGTATTACTTGAGATGCCTGTTCGAATGTTTGTCCTACCAATTCTGGCCATTTTTTACTTTCAGACATTATTTAAGTTTATTGAGTGTATTATAATAAATAAATATAAATTGTTCCAATAAGTGCTGATAAAGTTTTATACTTGTAATAAAACCTGTTCTAGCTTGTTTGTGTGCCCTTGTCGTCTATAACTGTTTTATAGTCAAAAATGCCCTTCGAATTTTTCTCTTCACTTATTCTTTTTTCTTTCTATTTCGAAGAGTAAAAAAATATAAAAGGTATATTGACTGCCTACTCTAATCATCGCCCTATTAATAATAAAATTGTCAATAAAACAAAAAAATGTAATTAGTCATGTTAAAATTCTGTATGCTTACTGCATAAAGCTTTACTCTTTTCTGTTCTGTAAAACTGTCATGTTGTCACAAGCTGACAGGCAAAAGTATGATTCTTTTTACATTTATTGTAAATAGTAAGTAAACGAAGGTAACCATATATGCTATTTTCTTTTTCTTCGTGTTGATATTTTTGTTGTTGGTAAGCTGATGATTAGGGTAGGCAATCAATACACCTTTTTCTTTTTCTTTTTTATTTCTTTATTCTTCGAAATATAAAGAAAAAAAAACAGACGATAAGAGAAAAATTAGAAAAGCATTTTTGACTATAAAACAGTTGTAGACGATAACGATACACAAACAAGCTAGAACAGTTTGTATTAAAAGTATAAAATTTTATCAATACTTATTGGAATAATTTGTATTAATTTATTATAAACATCAATAAACTTAAACAATTATATTCTCATCCTCAAGATTTTCGTTTCACTAGTTTCTATTTCTATTAAATTATTCATCAATTCTTCTTGATCGTCACCAATACCTAACAGATGAAATATAGATATTATTTGAGTTGGATGAAAGTGAAGAAGATAATTGTTTCTATTATCTAAGTCTTCAGCTTGAAAATAATAATCGACTTTTGAATGTGTCCAAAGAGCAAAAATATATGCCACTAATTTTGAAAGTTGATCTCTTACATGTACATCCCATGTAATAGTCTCTGAATTCTACCTCATATTTCCTATGATTAATTCAGTGTCGATGACTTATGCTTTGACATAATATTTTGACCAAGACCATCTTTATCTTGATTTAAAACTGTATCTAATTTGGTCAACACTTTAGCATCTTGTCTACTTTTATAATTCTTGAGTATGTCAATCTATTCTCTTATTTACTTTGATTCTAAACGAAGATATATAGGTATTCATAATACATGTCATATTTTTAAATTTGCAACAACATTCTAAAATCTTAGACCACTTTCAATTGAAACTTCTTCCCACGAATGTCTAGATGTATAACTTTTATTTCTTCTCCAATGGATATTAAGTTACTCTCGTTAATATATAATCTGGTGAAATTTTATTCAAAATGATCTTGTAAATGAACCAATTGGACACGATAAACCATCGATAGCTTTTTGAAGTTGCGTCTATATGTACATAGTATTGTCTTAGATGTTCATATCTAATTCACACTCAAATTGAAGAAAGGAGAGTCCAATACAAATGATGGATCATGAGTTCGTCCTGAGATATTCGATGCTCTGTAGATACTTATCTATTAAATATTTTCTAGATAATCATGTTTTTCTTTCTCGATCAGTTTTCAATGGAAATTTTCTATATAATCTTCAATGATTGATGGGATCATGAAATTTTATACTCGTTTCGTAACAGTCATAACTATCTCGATAGTGTTCTATCCAATTACAATAATAACTTGATCAATTTCGAATCGATTCGTAAATCTCATTTTGATCTTATTTATTGTTATATTCGAGCAGAACAAATGATTTTATTAATCTTGTCAGATAAAATGGAAACATCGACTCAATCTCAATTATTTAGATCGTTCTTTTCTATTGAACAATTTATTTATTCACGTGTTTTGAAATCTATCGAGCTAGACAACGATGGTGAATCATTCTTCTCCGGTTTGTATAAAGTTCACCATCATCACTCGAACAACTTATTACCAATATTCTATCAGATATTTACATTGATCTGGATCCATAGATCGCTACGGTTCGATTTGGACAACTATGTCGTTTGTTACTGCCCAATTGTTCCTGTACACAATTCCAATAAACCTTTCGTCGAGTTGTTTAACTCAGATCACTGAAAATTTTCTTCATATTTTTGAATCTGAGAGAAATTCACACATTCGTCAATTTTCAGCAAGAACGGACTACAAAATCTTCTCTCATTTCTCTGTCATTGTCTAGTGATGGAACTGATGAATATAGAAATCATACAAAATCATATCAATTATTTTTTTTTCTAGTCAAACAATAATGCGTGTTCATATCCGATGTATATCAATGAGAAATATTATTGAACATTTTATTACGACTGCTAACATTTAATTATAAATTTCTTTTGTTAGAACGTAGATCAAAATGTAGTCGATTAATATTGTCGTCCATTTTGGCTCAATAAACATTGGTTTATCCCAGTATCACCAGATTCTACGACATTACTCATTGAACAACAATCTTATTTTTTATAATTGTATTACCGAGATAAGATTTGATTCAGCTAGATGTAAATTACCTTATCATTATAATCATATCAAAAAAAAACTTATTGTTGACAGTTCTTGCATCCTTTATCATATTCAGTAAATTTTTTTTTGTGTGTTGGAAAGGGCATGTGAAAATGTAGGGAATGATAGGGTCCTTTTTTAAATTTTTGCTTGTAAAGCGTAGAAAATGGATGACAAGTTCGTTAATGAAAAAAAACACATTTGTCCGTAGGTTTTTTTTTATTAATGAACACGTCATCCATTTTCTACGTTTTAAAAACAAAAATTTAAAAAAGGATCCTATCATGACCTACATTTTCACATGCTCTTTCTGACACACAAAAAAAGATTAATTAAATATGATGAAAGTTCACAGAGAATTCTGAGAATTCTGCCTCAAATATCATGGTACAGAGCTGAAAATTTTATCATAGCCTCTCCACTACAGCATCAATATATTCTGAAAATCTCATGCGATTCCCATATACTTGAACCAAGATCGATTCTAAGTAATAATGGATTGGTGTGAGATGTCCTAATACTTTTTTCTTTGACTGTATATTCGTTGTAGCTGGAGATCATACAGGTAAAATATAGTGTTTCCTGTCTTAATGGCATAATCGCAAGTCCATTTATATTTAAAAAATTGATCATTTTCCTTTCTCTCACTACATCCTCAATTTTCTGGATGTGTGCAGTACTGGTTGTGTTCACTGTCACTGGAACATGGCAAATTGCTTATAACGAGAGAAGACAAGGAAGGAAAGATCTATGAGCAGTAAAAAAAAGACAAGAGGGCAGCAGTTTATGAATGAAAGATCTATTGTCTCAATATTTCTATGAATAGAATTTTTTCCTCTGATTATTGATCTTCAAATTATTTTACTTAGTTAAATAATAGTTGGTTATAATAAATTACTTTTTCTGATTGGTTACATATTATTCTATTTTACATGAAGATCAAATATATTTTCATTTCGAAAAACATTCATACTCGTGTTGTTTTTTTCTTCTTTCTACTTTTATTGTTACAGATAAGATAAATATCATATTTACAATGTCCTTATTACAACCTTGGCAAGAAAAAGCTGCTCAAAAACGAACATCTCTTTATGATTTAATTCCACAAGAATGGAGATTACCTAAATCAATTATAAATAATCCTCCAAAGAATTCAACAATAGTTCCATCTCAATGTGGAATACTTTCAAAACTTGATCTTGAAATTACAGAAATTGATAATATCGAAGAACTTGCTCATCGAATTGCTCAAGGAAAATATTCTGCCGTACAAGTAATCGAAGCTTATTGTAAACGTGCTGCTATTGCTCATCAACTTGTTAATTGTTTAGCTGAAATATTTTTTACTCAAGCTCTTGAACGAGCTCAATATCTTGATGATTATTTTAAATCAACTGGAGGAAAAACAATAGGACCATTTCATGGTATACCAATTAGTTTTAAAGATCAATTTAATATTAAAGGTATTGAAACAGCAATGGCTTATATTGGATATCTAGGAGATATTGCCGAACATAATTCAATTCTTGTTGATATTGTTCTTTCTCTTGGAGCTGTGCTTTATGTCAAAACAGCTCTACCACAAACAATAATGCTTCCTGAAACTCGAAGTCATCTTTTAGGTATAACTTTGAATCCATTAAATCGAGAATTAAGTTGTGGTGGAAGTTCTGGTGGTGAAGGAAGTTTAATTGCTATGAAAGGAAGTATTTGTGGATTAGGAACAGATATTGGTGGAAGTATTCGATTTCCAACAGCATTAAATGGTATATATGGATTAAAACCTTCTGATGGAAGAATTCCTTATGGTCGAGCTAGAAATTCATTTGATGGACAAGAATCAGTTCCAAGTGTTATTGGACCTATGACAAGATCTCTTTCAAATATTCGTTTATTTTTTAAATCAATACTTGAAACAAAACCATGGTTAATCGATCCTCAAGTTCATAATATTCCATGGAGAGAAGATTTATTTCAAGAAGGACAAATGAATAAATTATCTTTTGGAGTTATTCAATTTGATCAAAAAGTTCATCTTTCACCACCTGTTCAACGAGCAATTAATATGTCTATTAATGCTCTTGAAAAAGCGGGTCATCAAGTGATTCAATGGGATACAATAGATCATCCAGAGGTAAATTTTAATATAATACTATTTATTATGTATAGATTTTTGATAGGGAATCGATATTTTGGTGAAAATGTATCAAGCTGATGGTGGAAAAGATGTTCAAAAAGCTCTTGATCTAAGTGGAGAATCAATTGTTCCTGGTGCTTTTGTTGGAAAACCAGAAACTGAAATAAGTGTTTATGAATATTGGCAACTTAATGTAGCTCGTAGAGATTATGCAATGAAATATCTTGAAAAATGGAATAAAACTAAAGAAATAACTTCAACAGGTCGACCTATTGATGGAATTATTTCACCTATTTGTGGATTACCTGCTTATCCTCATGAATATCAAATTAGTATTGAATATACTGGTATTGTTAATTTACTTCAATTAACATCTGTTATACTTCCTATTACTCGAGTTGATTTGCAATTAGATCAAATAACTGATGAATATCGTAATATGAAAATTGCAAGTGATTTAGATAAAATGGCTAAAGAAACATATAAAGGACCTGAAGTTTTTGAAAATTGTATTGTAGGTTTACAAATTATTTGTCGAAGATTAGAAGAAGAAAAGGCAATTGGTATGGCAATGGTTTTAGAAAAAGCACTTGAATTATATCAATAAATATATGAATTTTTCTTATGATTAAGACCTTTTATAAGATTCATAAACAAATTTTACACCATAAAGAATTACACATGTTGGACCTTGAAATTTCAATATAATTTGAATCGAAACACTGTATAAGTGTTTTATCTTGTGTTGTTACTTCAGTTTCTTGACCATTAATGATTCGATAAACATGTGAAATAGCATCGATTATTCATTCATTATCAAGATAAATTGTATAAGCTTGACATTGTTGAGTAAATTTTGTTTCGATAATTAATGTCATATTATTAAGTGGATAAGACGAAAAAAAAACAGTTCGAAGTACATTTTGCATATTCTGTATCGGTTAAATTAACTACACTTGAATAACAATCGTCAGAAAAACTTGACAAAGCCGATCATGTATCAACTTTATCAATATGAGTTTTGCAAAGGTCATCGACATTCGAATCAATGAGTGTTCTAGCATGAATAGTTAATTCAAGAAGTAGAATGAGAAATAAAGAAGAAAGCAACATTGTATAGAAGTGATAGATAGAAATAGGGTGTGGGTAGGAGTGTGGTGTATAAGGGTGTGTGTGTTTGGGTGTAGATCTTTTCTTCAACAACATACATGCCACACACATCCACACTCACACTCTCCCTTGCACCCACAACCCACACTCTCACCCGCATCCATATTCGCATCCCCATTCTCAAATATTGATGCTTATTGTCTGTTCAACCGATATCCAGAACCATAATCCTGGATCTAACAAGCTCTGTTGCCAATGACTGTGTAGGCAAAACATGACCGTTAACAGCAGATATTGTGCTGTTTTAATAGCGAACATTTTACGAATCTTTGCGACTACTGACGATTATATATCACCGTTTATGATAGTTGTATCTGTCATGCTGAATTGTTTTGATTTTCATCAGCTATGCATAGACTTCTCTCACACAATATTTACAGTCAAATTATTGTTTGTATCTTCATATGAAAACTATAAACTTGAGCATCACCATAAACTGATAGTCAATGTTAGAAGTTTTTGAACAAGACATTGATTCTCTTCGCATGGAAAGATATCAGAAGCAGGAAAATGACTGAGCTAATCTGTAATTTGTGATCTCGGTTGAATCGATCTCGAGACATTGGATAAGAAAATGATCCTTAGCCTCAAACTGTCATTTTCAAAGGTTGCACTTTATCATCACAACTAATGAATTAGAATATGCGGATAAAGAAAAAAAGCAATTATTGTTAGCGGTCATATTCCCTTGTCACCAGGCAAATTGATCGTTTTTCACTTTCTTGACTTGTTCTGCATTCTTCAGCATTACTTTCATCTGTCGGTATATATAAAAGTGTATTTTCTTGCTGTATTTGCTGTGTGTGATTCGATTTCTATTTGGAATAAACAATGGCACGTTCGTCTGAGCTAATAAACTAAAAGATGAGGATCAGAACCTTATTTCTAGGAATCAACTATTATCAGAAGCCATGACAAAAGTTATAGCTTTCTTGTTTGTTCAAGTAACAGCGGAATATATTTTTCTATTTTGAATAAAAACTCAAATCATCATAACACTAGAATCTTTTCAACATGTTTCAAATCATTTGTTCTTTATTTTGATTATCTTACAAGATTTCCAAGAAAATACAAGAAGCCACAACAGAAACATGCAGCACACAAACAACCGATTACGATTCCAACAGTGACACCGGTTGGCGACGAACCTGTATTGGAACTGGTACCTGTGCCAGAAGAAGAATCTTTTCCTGCAACGTCAACATTTATCTTTTCTTTGTATTGTTTGGATTGATCATCAGATAGTGACAGATTTGACAACTTTGATCCATTTATGTGTACATCCTCTGTTACTTCAGAATAATGAGTCAACATGGAGAATGGCTTCGATGTCTCATATTTTTCTACCAATGATGAACGATCCTGAAGTCCATTAGTGGATAAGTCAAGTTCCCGTTCAAAGCTAATTACTGTCATGAAGGTCTTAAATACAATTTCATTATCAAGATAACTTGCCATACTTAGCATTTATGTCAAACAGCATGGAAAAACACATGAGCACATACAATTGAACCATGGCTGATCCCTCTCAATATAAGCCTCTGTGTAAAATGAATATAATCAAACACTTTCAATTCGACTTATATAATAGAGGAAAGATTGTTTCTTTTTATTCACTTAAGAAATGTTTCCAATTTGAGTCAGACAAATACGTTCGTTTTCTCAGAACTCTCATTCATGCTGCCATCGTATTCGATAAAAACCCGTTTGTTTATGTTAGAAAAAGAACGAGAATCTGTTGACTCTCTTCCTTCCAAGTGGGTGTGAGTGTGGGGGATGGGATGTGCGGGCGGGCTGTGCATGTGAAGTGTGAGTATGGGCGTCAGTGTGGTGTGGGTGTGAGAAGAAAAAATATCCATCCCAAGAGGGTGTGAGTGTCGGTGTAAATGCAGGTGTGAGTACGTAGTGGCTATGAGCATTGAGTAGGTACTTTTCTTTCACATACCCACACCCACACCTGTAAGTAACTTGCATCACTAAACAATTATGGTTATTATTGAGACATTGTTCAAAATTTTATCATAAAAATTTGGTTCCAAAAAAGTAATATTTAAGAATTATAGTTTCGAAAACTGGTATGAATTATAATTTGATTCCACAAACAGCATAAATGACCAAATTGATCAAACCAATGTGGAAACCATCGAACAACTCGAACCCATATGCAATCCAAACATTGTGGACGCAATATTTTTATTCCTATACGAATTTTTTTATGTATATTCTGAATTTTATAATTTTTCATAAAAATGTTGTTTTCTTTGTTTTGTATTTAACATAGAGTTTTTCATTTTTGCTTTCGCTTATAAACGCCAATGCAGAGCTCTGATGAGTGTTTCAATATGGTACAAATAAATAAAACGAAACGCGTTGGTGAAAATTAATTCTGTATTTTTTTATTTAGTTTATTCAAAGCACATAAATTATTCTAATATTATTATTTAGTTTTCGACTTAGTCGATTGCTGAAAAGCAAACGTTGACAATAGCAGATTGATTTATATTTTATAGAGATATAAGTTGATCTGTTTTTGATAGAATTTTCTTCTTCAGTTTATGTTGGAAGTTTTAGTTTTGTTTGGAATCGGAAGAAAAAGCTTTTGAAAATGTTTGTCAAATATTTACCTTGAAAGGAAGTGAGAGAAAGAAAACATCTCAACGAGTTTATGCTCTTTAGAATCATGATGAATGTTTTTATGTGTCCATTGCACACGGTGTTAGACTCAAATCATGAGAGTGACATCAGAAGAACCAATTTAATATATTCTTACTCGATCATTATCGAATGGATCACAATTCCGATTTTTTGTTTTGTATCTTAGATTGAGGACAGGGTGTGGATGTGAGTGAATGAGTGGGTGTGAATGTATAGATGGGTGGATGGAAGACTTTGACCCACATCCACACCCTAAATTTTCATCTGCGCATAATCAAAATTCGCACAATTTCCTATCTTTAATGCGGTTCGATGTCTTTTCCCAATGCTTAGAAACTCTCGGGCAGGAGTCTGATGTTATTGTCTTCGGTTACTAATGTCTGTAATGAGAGAGGAAGAAGGAGCGGAAATCTTCAAATTAGAACTTCTGTTCACTATTTTCTTCGAAAAACATGCGAGTTTCAGAATCATTTTTTTGATTAGCAAAATAACATATCGTACTGATACATTACACCATCAGCATATGATTTCCAATTTCTCGTTATATTCAAGTCAATATATGTTAAATTTGTTCCCATATTGTACTAATGGATCTAAGCATTGTCACTAAGTAATATATTTATTATTGGTTGTATATAATTATACTATCAATGCTGACTACGATAGGAATCATTGTATATTACTTCAAGAAAAGGGAATCATGTCAAATATGTAAATAAACAATTTTTATCTATTGATGACATTCAAAAAAAAAAAGAATGACAGTGAGACATTAATATAGAATTTGTGTGCTTATTATTACTACAGGAGAAATATTACATTAAAACTTCTGCAAATTCACTTTCCTACACAAATTATGATTCGACAAACTCGCGTAAATATAATTCATCCATTATTTAATATGGACTAGTTGGGTGAAGGTTTTTCAAAAATTTTGCATTAGAACCAAAACTATCCTATTGAGATAAATGAAAAAATATCTAAACTAACTTGAAACTGCAATGCATATTGTAAAGCTTTTATATAGTTCACAACATGATGAATGATGAGTTCTCTTATAGGTAATATACAACTTACTCTTATTTTTGTTCAAGGAATCCGTCTGTGTCATGTGTGAATGAAGAAAAGACTCACATCGAAAATATTCTTGTAGATACACAATAAATATTTGCACCAAATATTGTTTAACGTACATCTTCCATCTGATTGTAATAAATTATCCTGTGCGTCAATATAAGTATCTGTTCATATCGAATATTTTTCTTGATATATATTAATTCTTAGTTCTTTTTCTATTGTAGATATTTGTATTAGAATTCGAATCATTTTGATTGTGCAAAAAATTGTTTGATATAAAAACAAAGTTCATTAACAAGAATAGATTTTTTGCAAGTTTGAAAAGATCAGGGGCGGCGCGAAGGGCTCAGAGCAGGGGGGGGGGGTATTATGAAAAATGGGAGAAAATAGAAAAAAGTCTCTAAATTGTAAGTACCTAGTACCTTTTTTTTACTAGTGTTTTTGAAAGCAAGTAGATAGGTAGATTCTTCTGTTATCAATTACAAAAAATGGAGAACATTGTAATAAAGGTTCTTCAGAACCGGAAGAAGTTCAAAATATATCTTCTCGGAAGTTGAAAAATTTTTCAGACTTTTTCTCCAAAATTGGAGAAATTTTGAGACATTTTTTCCAAAATTGAAGAAATTTTGGGACATTCTCTCATTAACTGGAGAAATTTTAAGACATTTTCTCTCAAATCGGAGAAGTTTTGAGACATTTTCTTCA